GTTAGTTCTTTGAATGATGTTTGGTAAAACTCCACTGTGAAGCCATATGGACCAAAGCTTTTGTGTTCTAGGAGTCTTTTGATTACAACTTCCATTTCATTGGTTGTTGGCCTATTCAGGTTTTCTGATTCTTCCTGATTCTGTTTTGGAAGTTTGTAATTTTTCTAGGAATTTGTCCATTTCATCCACACTGTCCATCTTGTTGGCATGTAGTTGTTCATAGTATTTTCTTATAGTCCTTTGTATTTCTGTGGTGTCAATGATTACTTCTCCACTTTTGTTTCTGATTATATTTATTTGGGTCCTCTGTCTTTGTTTCTAGATTAGTCTGGCTAAAGGTTCATCAATCTTGTTTTTCTTTTCAGAAAACCAGCTCCTGGTTTCATTGAAAATACTTTGTGGGTGTTTTTTTTTTTTTTTTTTTTTTTTTTTTTGGTGGGTTTTTTTGTTTGTTTTTTGTTTTTGTTTTTTTTGTCTCTATGGCATTTATTTCTACTCTCATCTTTATTTTCTTCCTTCTATTTACTCTGGGTTTTTCTCATTGTACTCTTTCTAATTCTTGAAGATGTAGGGTTTATTATTGATTTTTCTTGTTTTTTGAGGTAGGCCTGTAATGCTATGAACTTTCCACTCAGGACTGCTTTTGCTGTGTCCCAGAGATTTGTGGTTGTTGGTGTTCATTTTTATTTGTTTCCAGGAAGTTTTTATTTCTTGATCTCTTTGGTAACCCATACATTGTTTAATAACATGCCATTTAGCCACCATGTGTTTGAATGTTTTGAGGTTTTTTGTTTTGTTTTAAATATATTTTATTGATTTTTTATAGAGAGGAAGAGAGAGGGATAGAGAGTTAGAAACATCAGTGAGAGAGAATCATTGATCAGCTACCTCTTGCAAACCCCTACTGGGGATGTACCCGCAACCAAGGAGCATAGCTTGACTGGAATCGAACCTGGGACCTTTGAATCTGCAGGCCGACGCTCTATCCACTGAGCCAAACTGGTTTCGGCCATCAGTCTGTGGTGTTCACCATTTCCCCTAGATGAGTGAGATCATGTCCTACTGGAAATACACTTATAAGGATCAAAAATGAGACAAGCAATAATTGTTATGCTGAAAGGCATATGAATCAGTCTGTAATGAGTTTCTTTCTGGGCCAACAATTCTTTTGAGACCCAATTTCAATGTCAAACAGTTCATTATGTGTACATGTCAGCAATGATATTTCAGTTCTGGATGATGGACAAATTGTGGTAATGCAGGTCCAACCCTCTCTGGTTTGGTCCTGGGCAACCTGCAGTGATACACAGCTGCTGACTGCTATTATGGCAAGGTGTCATTAGCATCTGTCAGATGAATATTGCTACCCCAGCTTTTTTTTTTTCTTTTCTCTTTGCATAGAAAATATTTTTCCATCCCTTCACTCTCGTTCTCTGTGTCTTTTGTTCTGAGGTGGGTCTCTTGTAGACAGTATATAATTTGGTCATATTTCAGCTACCCTATGTCTTTTGATTGGAGCATTTAATTCATTTACATTTAAGGTTATTATTGGTAGGTACTTATTTATTGCCATTTTAATTCTGTGTGCCTAGGTTTATCTATTTCTTCTCATTATTATAGCCTTTCCTTTAGCATTTCTTGTAATGTGGGCTTGGTGCCGATGTACTCCCTTAGCCTTTTTCCTTCTTCTTTTTTGTTCTAGGAAGCTCTTTATTTCACTGTCCAATTTGAATGATAGCTTTGCTGGATATAGTAATCTCAGTTTCAGATCCTTGCTTTCCATTATCTTGAGTACTTACTATCATTCCCTCCTGCCCTGTAGAGTTTCTGATGAGAAATTCGGTGTCAGCCTTATGGGAACTCCTTTGTAGGTAACACTGCTTTATTCTTGCTGCCTTTAAGATTCTCTCTCTGTCTTTAATGTTTGTCATTTTTTAATTATGATATCTGGACATGGGTCTGTTTGGGTTCTTCTTGCTTGGGACTCTGTGCCTCCTGGACTTGTGTGACTTATTCCTTCAGCAGATTAGGGAAGTTTTCTGCCATTATTTCTTTAAAACATTCTCTGTCCTCTGCTCCTTTTCTTCCCCTTCTGGCACATCTACTATTTGAATATTATTATATTTCATGTTGTTCCGTGGCTCCCTTAAGCTATCCTCCTGTTTTTCAATTGTTTTTCCTATTTGGTTCCCTAGTTGAGTGATTTTTTTCCTATCCTGTCTACTAATTCACTGATTCAATCCTCAGCTTCCCCTAATCTGCTGTTTATTCCTTCCAATGTGTTCTTTATAAGTGCTATGTCATTCTTTATTTCTGATTGGTCTTTTTTCATAGTTACTATATCTTTTCTTATGCTATTGAGCATCTTTACCATCATTATTATCGACTCTGTGTCAGATAACTTCCTTATCTCCATTTCTTTTATCTCTTCTTCTGGAGAATTCTCTTGTTCTTATCTCCCCATTTGGCTGCCTGTTGGGTTTGTGACTATTAGGTTTGTGACTCAATCTTTAGTGCAGGACAGATAGTGTCAAATGCTGTTTCTGACTAATTAGGTCAGATAAATACTAAAAGCCTTTACATATCCACCTCTGCTTGTTGACTAATTGGTTTCAGTTTTGAGTAGCCCTCAGGCAATCATCCCCAGGTGTGATGAGAGGTTTTCAAATAAGTTGGGTGGGGCAATTGCTTCTGCCTAGAGGCTATTTGTTATTCTCAGTCTGTTAATGGGCCTGAGAAACTCTGCACCAGTGGGCAAGATGTTTGCAATACAGTGAGTCAACTGTCTTCCCCCCAGGCAAAAACTGCTTTGATAGCAGAGATAGCCGGGATCTGTCTGAGAAAGATGACCTCTGCAGCTTGAGAGAATGACTTAGCACTGGAAACCATGGTGGCTGCCTTCTGAGCTCCACTCTTAGAGCCCTCACCCTTGGCTTCTGCTCCAGTCCACTCTGCCCTCCCTCTGCTGGAGCCCAGGGTGAGTGGCAGCATACTAAATTTTGTGCATTGGCCCTTAAAGAGGGTGCCTGCATTTTCAGCCATCTCTCCCTGGCAGCCAGCACTGTTATGGGGTCGAACCCTAGGTTCAAAATAAGACCACCGGAAGCTGATGATTAATTAAAAAAAGCAGGCAAGGATTTATTGAAATATCTGGCCAGGACAGCCGCAAGAGCACCACATGCAGGTGTTCTCCACACGACTGCACCGTTTTAGGGTTGGGCAATTCCTTTTAAAGGTTTAAACCACAACAATTTTCCGTTTGTTCCTAAATTCTAAAGACTAAATTCTAAAGACTGGAGACAGCCCGCAGGGTTGGTTCCCAGTCACATCCTGCTGGACATTGGAATGTGGCCCTATCTTGCGATAGTGATAACACAGAAGCAGAGCTCAGCGGTTAGTCTCTAAAGGTTATCTACAGTTTCTATCCCTGAAGCTACTGAGTCAGTGGGAATCAATCTCCTGTGGTCCTGGTCCCAGACAAAGGAAAATTGCCCTAGCCTCCAGGTCTCCACCTGGAAGCTGAGGTAAGTATTCCCTGTTTAATCAGGCAGGAGCCAGACTTAGGGTTAAAATTCAAACAGCAGTTTTTACCAAAGTTTGGTTGCCACTATATTTTAAGCACCCCTGCTGCTTTTCACAGCCAGATGTTATGTGGGCACCTTTCTCAGTCCTGGTACTCTGTGTTGGAGAGCCCAAGCGTGGGTTTAGACCCCAGAGTTCTTGGTGGAAACTCCCCATAGCTGAGCTATCCCTCTGGGCCTTCAGCTTCTGGCTGGGGGAGGCCGGCAAGCCCTTTCTGGTCTCTGTGCTTTCCACCAGTGTCCATGTGGTCTCCACTTTCCGTCTTCGGTTCTCAGGGTTCTCCTCGCTAGTCTAAAGTTGATTTTTCAGGGTAGTTTTTCTGCATTTTAATTGTATTTTCAGTTTGGGCCTGACAAAGTGTCCGTGTAGCTTCTACTTACTCTGCCGCCATTTTAAAGCCCCATCACTGGTTGTTTTAGATTAGAGACGGAAGAGTCTCCCTTTAAAGAGATGGCTATTTTTTTCAATTAAATTTTTATTGATTTCATACAGGAAGGGAGAGGGAGAAAGAAACACCAATGTTGAGAGAATCATTTATTGGCTGCCTCCTGCCCTGACTGGGAATTGAAATATGACCTCCTGGTTCATACTTCGATGATGAATCTGGAACTTCTCAGTACGCAGACCGACGCTCTATCCACTGAGCCAAACTGGTTTCGGCTTTATTGATTTTTAAAGAGAGATTGGGGGGCGGGGGGAGAACACATTGGATCGGTTGTGTCCTAAATGAGCCCCATCTGGGAATCAAACCTACAACATAGGTATGCCTTGACCAAGAATTGAACCCTTGACCTTTTAGTGTATGGACAACTCTCCAACTAACTGAGCCACTTTGCTAGGGCGACCTGTTAACTTTTATACTTTTATATATGAGTAAACAGTGAAGGATTCTCAGATACTTGACAACCCTTAAATAAGAGAGGCCAAAACAATGGGGTAAAAAAAGGAATGTATTATAGAAGAAACAGACAATGTAAGGAGAAAAAAAAACAGCCTACGCACACAAAAACCATATAATAGAGAAGATAAATTGCATCCATAAAACAAGAAAAGAATTCTCAGAAAAAGAATGATCAGAGAACAATGAGAAATAATTATTGGAAAGCCATCATTTAAGATAACTAAAACAAAATATGTCTTTAGGTGAAGAGTAGAAGATCATTAAATAAAATTTTCCCAGATCATTAAACTATAATGCAAAGATAAAAAAATATGCACTGGTTGTCTCCACCTCTAATTTATGACAGGATTAGTTACTGTACTTCATTTATCAGTTTTCTATCAGTCTTTCTCTTTAAGAGAAATCTTTTTTTTAAATAACTTTGTTTCTAATATGTTTTAGGAAAAATATAAACTTGATTATGAATATCTTTTTAAATTTTGTTTAATAGGTTGATTCTTTTTTTAATACCCTTTAGGAAGTAGGAAGAAAGAGAAGGAACGGCCAGAAATTTCTCCTCCTTCTGATTTTGAGCACACCATCCATGTTGGCTTTGATGCTGTTACTGGAGAATTCACTGTAAGTTTACCTAGTTGGGATTCATTTTTATATCCTCACTCAAGCTTTTCCATTCAGTAGTAAGTTTGAAGTTAACTTTCCTATCCACATATTAATTATGAATTCTTAGTGCTTTTCTCTTCTTCTAGAACAGTGGTTCTCAACCTTTCTAATGCCATGACCCTTTAATACAATTCCTCATGTTGTGGTGACCCCCAACCAAAAAATTATTTTCGTTGCTACTGTTATGAATTGTAATGTAAATAAATATCTGTGTTTTCCGTGGTCTTAGGCTATACAGCAACCAAAAAATAATTTTATGATTGGGATCACCACAACATGAGGAACTGTATTAAAGGGTTGCAGCATTAGAGAGGTTGAAAACTGCTGTTCTAGAAAGATTTGTGGATGGATGTATCCTTTCTCTAGGGAACTGCAACTATGAATTGTAATTATGCAGAACAGATTTAGATAAATAGACCTTTAGAAAACTAGGCTTTTTAGAATTTAGTCAACTATAGTTAATATAGATTGATTGATCTATTTCATCATTCACCTCTGAAAATTGATTTTATTAGAGCAACTCTAAACAGCTAATTCCTAACTGTCTTTTTTTTAGGGCATGCCAGAACAGTGGGCTCGATTATTACAGACCTCCAACATCACCAAACTAGAGCAAAAGAAGAATCCTCAGGCTGTGCTGGATGTCTTAAAGTTCTATGATTCCAACACAGTGAAGCAGAAATATTTGAGCTTCACTCCTCCAGGTAAGATACCAATTCTAATTCACATAAGATTGCAGTTGTGAAGCTCCTCTAAATAAAAAGATTGCTTCTAAAAAAACAACAAAAAATCACCACCTGTGCTGTAGTTTTTGTCCCTACTTTTTTCCTTGCATAGATCTACCATCCAACCATCTATCTATCTACCGTGTTTCCCCAAAAATAAGACATCCTCCGAAAATAAGACCTAGCGCATGGAAAGATAAGACATCCCTTGAAAATAAGACCTAGCACAACTTTGGGAGAAAAATTAATATAAGACACTCTTATTTTCGGGGAAACAGGCTATCTATCTATTTATATTTCAGAGAGGAGGGGAGAAGGAGAGGGAGATAGAAACATTAATGATGAAAGAGAATCATTGATTGGCTGCCTCCTGCACACCTCACACTGAGGATCAAGCCTGCAACCCTGGCATATGCCCTGACCAGGAATTGAACTGTGACTTCCTGGTTTGTAGGCAATACTCTGCTACTGAGTATTGAGTTTATAAACTGGCTGGGCTAGATATAGCTTTTATAAACTGAATGGAGCAGCTCTTATGTGTAATCTTTTAGCTTTGACAAAAGTAGATATTTTGGCCTTTTGTTTTTCTCTTTACTTCTTTTGAATGACTTCCAGCAATAGGAGAAAATGCTGATATATAGTTCATACTAGAAATATATTTATTGTTAGTGGAACAGGAAAAGGGTTGTATTACTATATAACTGCACAGACTTTGAGGTAAAAAATGTTTTAAGTCCACTCAAAATTTGAAACATCAAATATACAAAAATAAGCATTAGATTATAAGAAGTTATTCCTCAAAATTGAAATATCATCAGGCAAGAACCAGAATAATAGTGGATTTAAAAAAAATAATTTGTTTGAATCAGTATCGGAATCAAGTTCCTACATTGTAGTTGATTGCTATATCTCTTGAATCTTTTTTTATATTTAGGCTTCCCCTCCCTCATTCTGATTCTCATGGACTCTCTTCCTTGTAATTTATTTGTTAAACAAACAATATCATTTGTCTTGTTTCCCTAATATGGATTTTTCTGATTCATCCCAAAGTTTCACTTAATGTGTTTCTCTGTCCTCTGAAGTTATATGTTAGTTTTTACAAACAATGTGATTGAGCTAAAATCATGTAGAATTCATTACCTGTACTTAATTTGATGGCATCATTTCAGAAATAGAGACCACTTGGAAAATGATTTTAATTTTTTTAACTTAGTAGTCTAAAACATCCTTAGCAAAAAGTTAGACTTGTCCCTTAACTTTTCTGTCAACTAGTAAATCTGTATAAAATAGTAATCTTTTTTTAAGTCATGTTTGGCCAGAAAATTATGTATTTCATAGATATTATATATGCATTTTAAAAAGTAAACATAAACAAAACTTACTCTTCTAAATTGTAGAATGAGTATTTTATTTATCTATTTTTAATATATTTTTATTGATTTCAGAGAGGAATGGAGAGGGATAGAAAGATAGAAACATCAATGAGGAGAGAGAATCATTGATCAGCTGCCTCCTGCACGCCCCCTACTGGGGATTGAGCCCACAATCTGGGCATGTGCTCTTGATTGGAATTGGACCCGGGACCCTTCAGTCCGCATGCCAATGCTCTATCCATTGAGCCAGACCAGCTAGGGCCAGAAAGAGTATTTTAATATTTAATCTTTATGAATTGGTTTTGCATTAAGGGATTTGCTTTTATACTGATCACAACTTATATCAAGCATTATCCTTTGCACGTTTTGTCTGCATGATTGGTTGTTTTAAGTTCCTCAATAGGCAATTTTCTGGAGAAAGTATCATTGTGAATAAACTTCTGTTTTGTTTAAATACAGATGGACAGGTATAGTTTCAAATAAATTTTAATAATTTTATTAAGGTATAATTTACATGCTATAAAATTCACCCACTTAAAAGATACAATTCAATGATTTTAGTAAATTCACAGTAAGATTGGAGATTTGTCGACTAAATCTTACATAAATTCCTGTTTGAATACCGATATTGTCAGTTTTATCAAGACAATTTAAAATCAGTCTAAATATTTTACTTGCTCTGCTTTCTATTATCTTTTAATTTTTAGGCATTTTATTTTTTGAAAGGTTAAGTTAACATTATTTTCTGTTTCATATTCAGAGAAAGATGGCTTCGCTTCTGGAACACCAGCGGTGAGTTAATATGTTATTTCTTATAGCTCTTGTTCTAATTTAAGTTTCCCAAAACAAATTTCAGTTTTTATTTTACTTTCTAAAATAAATTACAGCCATCAGAAATAAATAACTACTTAATATATGTCTTAGCTAGCCACTTAATTAGTTGAGGAGGCCATGTTAAAACAATAAAATATCCTTGATAGGATACTCAAACTGCTAAAACTTGTTATGATAAAGAGCAATTTAGCTACTTTAGGTAATGTTTCTGTACTTAAAACATGAGTGCAAAGAACTGCTAGCTTTTTCCTCTGGCAGCATTCTACTGAATATAGCCTGTGGGAACACATAGAACGACAGAGAAGCCTGTCAGTCTTCAGAGCTGACTGAAACTTTGTAAGTTATCATGCAAGCACAGTTACCTCCTGCAGAGTCACTGTTTTAGTTTCAATTCCTCAATTAGAGGAAATAGTCTCCTGGGGTTAATATGAAGATTAATTGGAGTAACATGTAAAGTACCTATCTAGCACACATCTGGCACATAATAATCTCTGTATAAAGGTAATACCTTCCTCTTTGGCTTCATTAGCCATTTTTTTCTGGTGAATGTAGCTGTTTTAAATGACTGAAAATGAGTCTGACTTACACAAAGCCTAGTGCAGTGGTCGGCAAACTGTGGCTCATGAGCCACCTGCGGCTCTTTGGCCCCTTGAGTGTGACTCTCCCACAAAATACCATGACCTGGGCGAGGCTATTTTGAAGAAGAAGCATTAAAAAAAGTTTAAGTTTAAAAAATTTGGATCTCAAAATAAATTTCATTCGTCGTACTGTTGATATTTGACTCTTTTGACTGAGTTTGCCGACCACTGGTCTAGAGGATTCTTGTTTTTGGTCTTAATAAATAAAGTGATTGTTTACTAAAGGGTTTGTTAAAGGGTATAAAATTCTCTATATAAAAGGTATACATTCTCTTTTAAGAATACTTAATATTTATCACATATATTTCATAAACTTTACTTACAGAATTGCCTTCATGTTTTAAGTGATTAAATTAGAGTAAGGGAGGATTTACTGTTTTGAAATGAGCTATTAAAATAAATATTTTTTTAAAATATGCTAAAAGAGATTCATATTTTAATATATTTTATATTTGACATGTCTTCCTTACCTTTGCTTGTTGATAAATACAGTTGAATACCAAGGGATCAGAAACATCAGCAGTAGTAACAGAGGAAGATGATGATGATGAAGAGGCTGCCCCCCCTGTCATTGCTCCACGACCTGATCATACAAAATCAGTGAGTGTCTTATTAGTGAATTGGGCTGTGTATGTGTGCATGTGTGTTTTAAAAAGCAGTCTGTATTTGACTTCCATTGATCAATTTTAAAAAGCCCTCATGCTTAAAATATTTTAGTGTGGGGAAATTTGACTAGAAGATCTTTACCTAAAGACCACTCATCAAAAAACTAGCACTATACACACACACACACACACACACACACACACACACACATATATATATATATATATATTTTTTTTTTTTTAATTTCAGAGAGAGAGGAAGTGGGAGAGAGATAGAAGCATCATTGATGAGAGAGAATAATTGATTGGCTGCCTCCTACACCCGCCCTAATGGGGATCAAGCCCCATAACTCAGGCATATGCCCTTGATCGGAATCGAATCTGGGACCCTTCAGTCCATAGGCTGACTCTCTATCCACTGAGCCAAGCTGACTAGGGCAAAAAACTAGCTTTTTTGAAAATTAAAATCAAATGAGTTCTTTAAAAGTTAAAATACAAATACTGATTTTTTTCTTTTTTATTTAATTTATTGGAGTGACACTGGTTAATAAAATTACATATTTTATCTCCCATTTTACAGTCCTCTCAAAGCTTGAATGTCATTCAAGGGGCTTCTAAGAGTGAATTCCTAACCAGATATAGGAGAACTTTAACAATAATGACCTTAGATAGAGATAGAGTCCCTTCCCTCTCCCTGTACTAATACAAGCACAGTAGGGGAAGGTGCTGTGCAGCAGCGTTGGGCGTGGTGGTACACTTGGCAGGTAGAGCCCTGAGGACTGACAGTGCTTCCTGATCTAATGTGAGGGCTCTGTTTCCTGTATATCCTAGAACTGGCTGTTGGAAATGAAAGGGTAGAAATCATATTTGTGCAAACATTTGGGGGATATTAATAGTTATTTTAACATCAAGATTTCTATTATTTTGTTCTTTATTTCTCTTTTGTGGTAAAGACATTATTTTAAACTTTTTGCTTCATTACTAGCATATCATTTTATTTTATTTTTTATTAATTTTCATCCGAAGATATTTTTCCATTGATTTTTTTTTCTTTTTCTTTTTTTGAAAGAGAGTGGAAGAGAGGGTGTGAGACAGAGAAAAATCGATGGATGTGGGAGAGACACATTGATTAGTTGCCTCCCATACATGTCCCAACCAGGGCTGGGGATTGAGGCTGCAACCTAGGTACGTGCCCTTGACCAGAATCGAAGTCAGGACCCTTCAGTCCACTGGTCGATGCTCTATTCACTGAGCCAAACTGCTTAGGGCTCTAGGATGTCATTTTAGATCTGGTTACACTTAAATTTCATTCAAAGATCTGTTCTTTTGCTAGAAAAAGTTAAAAGACATGATGTACTAAATTAAAATGTTTCACATTTATTTTTCGTTACAAGTCATTTTTCCTACAAGTCTTTTTTAAAGACAGATCTGAAAATATTATTCTCATTCTTTAGATCACTGGAAACAATTTAGTTTTGGTTAAAATAAAAAAAAGTGAATAGTATGACAGTAAAAATACATGAACATTTTTCGTCAAGTCTCAGTAACTATCTCTTTGCAGATTTATACACGGTCTGTAATTGACCCTATTCCTGCACCAGTGGGTGATACTAATGTTGATGGTGGTGCCAAGTCTTCTGACAAACAGAAAAAGAAGACCAAAATGACAGATGAAGAAATTATGGAGAAATTAAGTATGTTTCCTACATTTTACATTATTCTGAAGTTGTTGACAGCTCTTGAAACATTTGGCACAGATGGATATTTATTTGTTTGTTTGTTTTCAAATGCTCCATATAGCCGTTTATTTTTTTCAATCCTCACCTGAGGATATTTTCCCATTGGTTTTTAGAAAGAGTGGAATGGGGAGGGAGAGACAGAGAGAAACACCAATGTGAGAGAGACACAATTGATTGCCTCCCACATGCCACTCTGACCAGTGCCGGAAGTCTGCAACTGAGGTATGTGCCCTTGACCTGAATTGAACCTGGGACCTTCCAGTCTGCAGGCTGACTCTCTATCCACTGAGCCAAACCAGCTAGGGCTGGCCCAGATGGACTTTAATTTATCCCCTATACTTTAGCTTAAGACATAAAGAATAAATTGTTGACTTCCAGGACCAACTTCAACTAAAATCTGAAAAAGCCCCCAAAATATTCTTCTTTGCTTATTTATTATTATGTGTTGACTACTGAGCAACACTTTTCCCCAAAGGGCCAAATCTAAGATTCACAGTTGGAAACTTTATCAAAGGAAGTTTGTATATATTTATACATAACTATAGCTTCTCAGTATGAGAATATAAAATGACCATAAGAACTAAACAGAGTAACCCTCCTGTATGGATATATTTGTAAACATAAAGTGGATTTTTTTTTTCATCCATCAACTCTCATTGGCCTGGATCAAGCATTGGAATTAATTTACATAGTGCCAGGGAGATTGTAATGATAATGTCTGATTTGCAGGTCTACAGCAACTATAGTTATAATGAATACCTACATGGAGGAATTAAGGAAAAATACTATAATTATAGTGGCTGTAGACTTGTGGGTTATATGTGCTATATTCCTATTTTCTTTCACCTTGAGCAAGTGAAAGAAAAATTTAAATATATTTTTATTGATTTCAGAAAGGAAGGGGGAGAGAGAGAGAAACATCAGTGATGAAAGAGAATCATTCCTGCACATCCTCTCCTGAGGAATTAGCCTGCAACTCGAGCATGTGCCCTTTACAGAATCAAACTTGGGACCCTTCAGTCCTCAAGCGGATACTCTATTCACTGAGCTAAACTAGCTAGGGCGAGCAAGTGAAAATTAAATGTGGTTTTCTCATGTTTTCACTTACTGGTAATAAGAATATAAGTTACAGTTTTATGTCCAACAGCCTAGTTCTAAAACCTTTTTCTTAGTTGTAACTTTGTGACCTTTTCTAAAACAGATGTGTGCTTAGCTCATATTAGAGTAATTTTTATACTGATAAGTAGTTTTCTAAATACATTGTAAGATCAAAGATATATTTGTATAGTCAGAAAAGCCAATTAGGGTTACGGGTTTTTTTTTTAGTGTTTGTGGTTGAAACATAGTATTTTGAGATTTACTGTAATATTTGAAAATCACTATTCTAAAATCAGTGGAGTTTATTAAAAGGAATAATGCTATCAGAGTTAATTTACAATTTTAAAAATATGTATATTTCTGTTGAAACCGGTTTGGCTTAGTGGATAGAGTGTTGGCCTGCGGACTGAAGGGTCTCGGGTTCGATTCCGGTCAAGGGCATGTACTTTGGTTGTGGGCCCATCCCCAGTAGGGAATGTGCAAGAGGCAGCTGATCGATGATTCTCTCTCATTGATGTTTCTACCGTGTTTCCCCAAAAATAAGACATCCTCCGAAAATAAGACCTAGCGCATGGAAAGATATAACATCCCCTGAAAATAAGACCTAGCGCAACTTTGGGAGAAAAAATTAATATAAGACACTGTCTTATTTTCGGGGAAACAGGGTAACTCTCCCTCTCTATAAAAAAATCAATTAAAAAATATATATATATTTCTTTATTGATTTCAAAGAAGAAGGGGAGATAGAAACATCAATGATAAGAAGGAATTACTGATTGGCTGCCTCTTGCACGCCCCCTACTGGGGATTAGGCCCACAACCCAGGCATCTGCCCTTGGCCAGAATCGAATTCGGGACCCTTCAGTCCGCAGGCCAATGCTCTATCCACTGAACCAAACTGGCTAGGGCTAATTTACAATTTAAAAATGCTTGACTGAGCTTATAATTTTTTGTTGTTTTTATTTAAAATAGGAACTATTGTGAGCATAGGTGACCCTAAGAAAAAGTACACAAGATATGAAAAAATTGGGCAGGGGTAAGTATTTGTGACTGTATTATCACTATATTCAGTACTTAGTAGATGTCTCTTTTGCTTGCCGACATTGAGCACTTTTAATATTCTCTGAGTGATGTCCTTAGATTTGTGTAGATAAGTAATGTATTTCTTTTTTAGATGCTGTGAAAAAACTGTATTATTTAGCAACAACTGTACATGGTTTTGTTTTTTCTTTTTATTGATTTTTAGAGAGAGGGAAGAGGGGGAAAAAAACAAACATCAATTTATTATTCCACTTATTTATGCATTTATTGGTTGATTCTTGTATGTACTCTACCCAGACTGAACTTTCCAACCTTGGCGTATAAGGATGATACTCTAACCAAGTGAGCTACCTGGCTAGGGCATGAGTATACATTGTTTCTTCTTAAATGTAATAAGATTAATTAGATGGGTGAAAAATTGGTAATGAGAGATTAATTAGATGGGTGGAAAAATTGTCCAAATATATTTAAAAGACTGTAGGAACATTTACTACAATATTACAGGCAATAAAAACATACATTTTAATTACATCTATTGACTATCTTTGAATCTACTGATTACTTGATTTTGTCCAATAATTTGTATTTTTAAACTATATTAACTAAACACTTTTCCTGTTGTTCGGGAAGAGATGAACATCTGGAATTTTTAATGTTATTAATCTCTGGAAAATGTTCTATGAATTTAGAAAGAGAGCTTACGTTATTTTTGAAAGTTTCTTTATGAATTTCTTTTTAAAAACTAAATTTAATTGCAGCACTGGTTTTAATAACAAAAATTAAGAGTCACATTTTAAGCATCATAATGGATAAATTGTAATACCAGTATATGGAATGATACAGGTTGGAGCAAAAGTAGGTTTATAATTTGTTTGGAAAAAAATAATAAATAATAATATAAGAATGAACTGTGTTTCGCGTGTTCACAACTGTAAACCTACTTTTTCCCCACCTTGTATATGTAATAATAATTATGAGTGGACAAAAATGATATCTAACAAAAAGCAAAGGAGAAAAAAAGAACAAGAAAGAATAAAATCTATCCATTTTGATGACATCCCAAATTCAATGTTGAATTATAAGAGAAAATTGCAGGAAAAATACATAAAGTTAAATCATTTTTATGAAGTTTAAAAATTATGTTAACTTTGGCCCATGTAGCTTGGTTGAGCGCTGTCCTATGCACTGAAGGGTTGCTGGTTTGTTTCCTAGTCAGACATGCCCAGGTTTCAGGTTCAATCCCCATTTGGGGTGCATGCTGGAGGGCAGCCAATTGATGTTTCTCTCTCATATTGATGTTTCTCTCCTCCCCCCCTCTTTTTTCTCTCTCTCCATACCTCCCCCCTTTTCTTTCCTCTCTCAAATCAATTTTAATCTTAAAAATATGTTAAATATATTCTGTAGAGATACATATCTATGATCTTTGTGGATAAAGTATAGAGAACTGGATGGAACTTACGTACATCAAATACAAAATGGACAATTGCAGATTACTTTTGGGACGAAAGAGGATGCCTTTGGAAAGGGCACACAAAAACCTTCAGATTTATTTGTAGTTCTTCGTTGTTGTTTAAATATATTTTTATTAATGTCAGAGAGAGTGGGGGGAAGAGAGAGAAATAGAAACATCAGTGATAAGAGAGAATCATTGATTGGCTGCCTCTACTCACTCCCTACGGAGGGTCAAGCTCAGAACCTGGGCATATGCTCTTACCTAGACTTGAACTCTGACCTACTGATTCATAGGTCGATGCTCAGCCACTGAGCCAACCAGGTGGGCTAGTTCTTTGTGTTTTAATTAGTGAAGTGGATCCATCGGTACATGTTGCTTTTTTTTTTTCCTTTATCTTTTTTCTTCATTTTTGTAGATACGAAATTTGTGACAAATTTCTAACCTAATTTTTGGCCACAGGGATAGCCTTTCTCTTACTTATTTTTCCCCTTTTTTATTTTTACTTTTGTTTTACTTTATTTTGTTTTTACTCTTATTTAAGATATTATTAAGTCTTAAATGTTTAATCCTTTTTCAGTCCTAAGTATAAAGTCTTTGGATGTTATAAATGGTAATGATTTAGAAACCTTAAACCTGGTTGTGTTTTTTTCCTCCTAGGGCTTCTGGTACAGTTTTCACTGCTACAGATGTGGCATTGGGACAGGAGGTAGCTACTTTTTCATTGTTCTGGGTGTTACCATTAGGTTGTAGTATAGGAGGAAACTGAATGAACCTATGATAATCAATAAAAATCTCCCTTTCAGTTGGATCTGTTGAAAGAATTATTCCACGTAGTTTTATTTACTATGTAATTTTATAGCACTTTATTAAGGGGGGAGGAATTAATGCATTGCTTCATAAATAAGCAAATATTTAAAAAATTATTTTCCCAACTTAGAATGAGCTGACCTTGGGTTGGTTAATCAGCTTTAAGAGAAATCTAAAAATATTTGGGTTCTGTGCATTACAAAGCTTTGTGCATAGGAAGTGTGGAAATAAAAGTACTACCTAATTATAAATTATAATTATAATAATTATAATTTCATTATATAATGTACTAGTATACAATAAATTATTAACTGATTGGTATTTCTAATTTTGTAAGAGAATTACTTTAATAAGCTTTCCGGACCTGGTGGAACAGAAAGTGTCCTCATGGGAGTTGACTTTTCTAATTTTTAAAAATTCCATTATAGGTTGCTATCAAACAGATTAATTTACAGAAACAGCCAAAGAAGGAATTGATCATTAATGAGATTCTGGTGATGAAAGAATTAAAGAATCCCAACATAGTTAACTTCTTGGACAGGTAAATATGAATATTTCTTAAGCATTGGGACAAAAGTGTGGAAATTTTAATTCTCATGGTTTTGGAGGTTAGTCACTTTAGTTAGACCACAGTAGAATGCTGAAAAGTAAGCTTGAAGGAGGAGGAGGTAAAAATAGCATATTTGCAGTTTAACACAGATACCACTTGGTCAATGAGAGAAGACAGTTAAATGAAAGACATTGCTGCTGGTGCTAATATTAATTATAAATCTTCAGAAGCAGAAACATTAAAAGAAGGTATTCATATCTTGACCAACAGAGGTGACAGGCCACATAGTTTTTAAACTTTCAGGTGAATTTTTATTTCAGATGCTTTCATGAGCAAATAGTATATCTATCAAAACCTCATTTAATTTAGGAATTAGTGTTTAAAAAACATATCTTAAAAATATTGTGCTTCGGGACCGGTTTGGCTCAATGGATAGAGCATCGGCTTGGGGACTGAAGGGTCCCGGGTTCGATTCCGGTCAAGGGCATGTACCTTGGTTGCGGGCATATCCCCAGTAGGGGTGTACAAGAGGCAGCTGATTGATGACACTCTCTCATCGAAGTTTCTAACTCTCTATATCTCTCCCTTCCTCTCTGTACAAAATCAATAAAATATATTTTTAAAAAAATATTATGCTTTTTATTTTTATTTTATTATTTTGTTGTTGTTAAGCCTCACCTGAGAATATTTTTTTCATTGCTTTTTAGAGAAACTAGGATGGAGGGGAGAGTGGGGAAGGGAGAAAAAGAGAGAGAAATATTAATGTGAGAGACACATCTATTGATTGCCTCCTACACATGCCCCAACCAGGGCCAGGGAATGAACCTGCAACCCAGGTACGTTCCCTTGACCTGTAACCAAACTCACGACCCTTGGGTGTGTGCTCTAACCATTGAGCAACAGCTAGTCAGAGCACAGCTATTGTGTGTTTTTTTCAAAGCAGTCACATATATGTGAATGTAAGAAGAGTAATAGAAAGTAATGGAAATTTTAGTAGAGATTATTTTGGAGATAGGGGATTATAGGTGATTTTCTTATTTCCACACCTAACTTTATTTTGAAGTAATGATAACTCATTTTTTAGACTTTAGTCATAGTAATGAGGAACATGTTCATAGAAATAAACTTACCAGATACATTTAAACATACATTTTAAGTTGGTATATCATGGTGGTTAAGAAAAGCCATAAGCTTTCCGGAGCTAGTGGAGCAGAAAGTGCCCTCCTGGGAGTTGACATCTGCAACACAGAAACTAGAGGTTTGGAGTGAGGAGCCCAAGAGCCAGAACATCTACCCAAGCCTGTTGACAAAGCTGTACAGGTTTCTGGCCAGACAAACCAATCCCACCTTCAACCAAATGGTGCTGAAAAGGTTGTTCATGAGTCCACCAGCTGACCACCTGGGTCCCTTTCCCGAATGATCTAGAAGAGGAAGCTTCCCGGCCAGAGGACAAAACCACTGTGGTTATTATTATTTTTTTGTTGTGGTTATAGGGACTATAACTGATGAGATTCATGTCCAGGAGGTGCCCAACCTGAAGGTTGTATGCACTTTGTGTGAACAGCCATCCCCGAGCCACATCCTCAAGGCGAGGGGCTAGATCCACACCTTCAAGCAGTTGGCCCTGGGCTCCCCCAAGGGCTGTGGCTTCATGTTGCTTTCTGGTCCCTGCAAGGACTGAGGCATGTACAGGCATTTGGCCAGGCCCCCAAAACCTCCCACAGTCACACCAAACCTTATGTACCAATCCAGGCGCCAAAAGTTTGAGCACGCAAGTGACTGATGGTCCAGCTCCAGCTACAAAAACTAACGCAGATCCTACTTAGTTATTAAAAAGATTTTGGGATACTGGCAAGGGAGCCATAAGCTTTGCAATCACTTCATACATGGCTTCAGTTTCTGGTTTTGTCACTTCCTATGTTACCTTAAATGAGTTACTTAACCTCTCCAAGCTTCTGTCTGTTCATCTGTCAGCTACAATTGTGGTCAAACTTTAATGTGATTCAGGAAAATCATAATGACCCTCAGTTATTTTTCTGTGCTGTTCCATAGCAGCTTTCCAGTTGTCTTCCTAGCTCTCAAAGCTATCAGCTTTCTAGTTTTGTTATGAAGATGCCTAAACTTTGAATTCTTCAACATTCAAGAATACCATGTGTTTAGAAAATATAGAAATGTGACTGTATTTTGTGTGTGTTTCTTTTTAGTTACCTGGTGGGAGACGAATTGTTTGTAGTGATGGAGTACCTTGCTGGGGGATCACTCACTGATGTTGTAACAGAAACCTGCATGGACGAGGCACAGATTGCTGCTGTGTGCAGAGAGGTGAGTTTGCTCTCGTTTCGATAGGTTATGGTGATGTTCGGTTAGCAGGAGATGAAAAAAGGGTAAGTTTCTAGTGTAATCCTTTCTCTGTACACATTCTCGGCACGTTTTTTCCATACCATTTCATCCTACTTGAGAGTTGCAGCACTTTCCTTCATGTGTAAGATAATTCAGCAATGAAGCATGGACCTTTGAAGAGCAAAACTCACATGTGCATTTCAGTGGGGTCATCATCATAATTCATCATCCACACAGGATGCTTTTGAGAGTGAAAGTGGAACCCATTAAAAATATACCACTCACCCTGGCCCAGTGTGGCTCAGTTGGTTGGAGCATCCCATGCACTATATGGTGGCAGGTTCTATTCCTGGCCAGAGCACATACCCATGTTTCGGGTTTGATCCCTAGTCTGGGTACATAAAGGAGGTGGCCTTTTGATAGTTCTCTCTCAAATCAATGTTTCTCTCTTTCTTTTTATAAAAATCAATTTTAAAAAATACACGATTCGCCGAAACCGGTTTGGCTCAATGGATAGAACGTCGGCTTGGGGACTGAAGGGTCCCGGGTTTGATTCCGGTCAAGGGCATGTACCTTGGTTGTGGGCATATCCCCAGTAGGGGGTGTGCAAGAGGCAGCTGATTGATGACTCTCTCATCGATGTTTCTAACTCTCTATCTCTCTCCCTTCCTCTCTGTACAAAATCAATAAAATATATTTAAAACAAAAAGACACCATTCAAGGAAATAAACCCTCCTTTGGGAAAAGCAGGACATATGTTCACCTTAAGTGTTAATACATCTGCTTCTGATTTTATTAATCTTATTGAAAGTAAAGAAACTAATTGTTTCTTGATATTTATTATGAACTAGAGGCCCAGTGCACAAACATTCCTGCGAGAGCAGGCCTTCCTTTCGCAGGCGCCCGGCCTGGGCTTCCCTCGAAGCCCCGCTTTGTCCGGTCTAATGAGCGTGTTTTACTTTTATTATTATAAATTACTAGACATACTGTCTGATTTTAAAGCACAGTTCTACCAAATTGCCTAAGTTAAGTCAAAACAGGAGCCTTCCTTCTTCTAGCTAACTTTTCCTACAGATAAGATTTAGGTTAATGATTTGCTTATTGTCACTGAAACTGATACTGCTTTTGAATATCATAGGAATAATTATTTCAGTGGACAAAATTATAAAAGTTCTTAAGACTTGTGTTTTTAAGGGTTTTTTTTTAATGCTCACCCTGAATACATTTTATTGGAGAGAGAGAGAGAGGCAGAGAGAGACAGAGAGAGAGAGAGAGAGAGAGAGAGAGAGAGAGAGAGACATAGATGTGCCAGAGAAACATTGATAGGTTGCCTGATGTGTGCGTATCCCAACTTATGTACACCCCAACTGGGGGTCACACCCACAACCTAGGAATGTGCACTGACCAGGAATCAAACCCACACTCCAAACAATTGAACCACATCAGCTGGGACTTCTTTAAAATTCTTAATTGTTCTCCATGTAAAGGGGGGTAGCTTCTTTGGGGGAAAGGAATTAAGAATTTTTTAATGAATATGATAGTTTAATAGCGTATCTCTTAACCAAAAAATGTTAATTAAAAGCTGATAAAAACTTAACAAGAATTTATACTTCATTTGTTTTTCTAATAGTTTTTCATAATTGATATACTATAAAAATTATTTTAGGAGTTCTTTTAATTGTGACAATTTTATTCCTATTTGTACAAGTGTTTTTCTGGGAATTTGTTCTTTTCAGGAATCTGCTTAAATGCTTGGTAAATGTAGCGTAATAATACTCATAGTTTATCTATTTTTTTCTTGACTGAATTATACAAGATTTTCACCCTGACTGATATAATTCAGTTGGTTAGAGCCTTGTCCCATAAACTGAAAAGTTTTGGGTTCATTTTCCAGTCAGGGCACATTCCTAGGTTATGGGTTTGATCCCTGATTGGGGCACCTGTGGGAGGCAACTGATGTCTGTCTCTCTCTCTCTCTCTCTCTCTCTCTCTCTCTCTCTCTCTCACACACACACACACACACACACACACACACACACACTCTTTCTCTCTCTCTCTCTCTCTCTCTCTCTCTCTCCCTAAAAATCAATTAAATTTATTTATTTATTTTAAAATATATTTTTATTGATTTCAGAGAGGGAGGGAGAGATAGAAACATCAATAATGAGACAGAATCATTTATCGGCTGCCCCCTGCACACTCTACTGGGGATTGAACCTGTAATCTGGGCATATGCCCTTCCTGGGTGACCTCCTGGTACATAGGATGATGCTCAACCTACTAGGTCACATTGACTGGACTCTAATCTCATTCTTATATTATATTTAAGGAAGCAAGAAAAAATTTTTCCTTGCTTTGGACTCATTCTGCTTTCTGAAACATTAGCAAAAGAATAAAGTTATTCCTTTATCATTGGTGTCTAGGTTGTGGATATTAGCTTTATGTAAAATTCACGATAGAAGAAATGAAGAAAACATCTTACATCACATTGATGAACAGCTAAATGGAACCATATCAGCCATAATCTTACCCACTTTTCATGGCACATTGATTAGACTTGAGTATCTGAGATTCATGTGAGAATAATCACAATTTTATCTTTTGCTATTGATTTCTAAAGAGCCTTGAGCATGTTTGCAGGTGCTGTATACCTTTAAGCACTTAAACCTAAAAAGGCCTAGAAATTATATAGACTCAACCATCTACATGTATATAAAAAGCCAGCAACTGTAATGGCCATAATGACCCTAACAGCCAGTCGTTATGATGCCTACTACGAATGAACAAACGAATGAACCAGTACGATCAGGAGGTGGGGCTGCTGGTCAACCTCACAGCCCCTCCCCACTGCCAGGCCACCCTCATTAGACGTTCCCACCCTGATCAAGAGTTATGTGCAAAGATATAAAAATAAGACAATTAATTAGAACCCTTAAATAATTATTAAATGATGTCTTATCTAGTCCTATCATTCTGTGTTCAATATTTTCATTTATATGTTAACCAAACAACCCTCCCTTCTTCACGGCCAGCCCTGACCCTGATCAGCCTGCCTCACCACAATAGGCCCGCAGCCCCTCCCCCTGGCCAGGGCCCCTGATTGTACCCCCTCACCTCAATAGGGGGCGGGTGGCCAACCTCCTGCAGCCCCTCCCCCTGGCTGGCCACACATCCTGTGGTCCCCCACTACCCTGATAGGCCTGCAGCCTCTCCCCAGAGCCAGCCCCACCCCTGATCGCTCCCCCACCCCAATAAAGGGTGGGGCCAATTGACCAACCTCCTTCAGCCCCTCTCCCCATCCATCCCCACCCCAGATCGGCCCCCCACCCCGAACAGGGGCAGGACAGGCCAGCCAACTATCCATGGCCCTTCCTACAGGCCACTGGCTCTCCCACTAGCACCCCCCACCCCACTTGGGGGCAGGGCCTGCTGGCCAGTCACCCACAGTCCCTTCCCCCAATTGCCCGGCCCTGATTGGGGCTGGCTGGTTGGTCAACCTCACACCATCTCTTCCTCCCAATAGGCCCAGGCAATCCGGCTGGACCCCACTGGTGCACAAATTCATGACTGGGCCTCTAGTCATTTTATAAATGAAAATATTGAACACAGAATGATAGGACTAGATAAGACATCCTACATAGTAATATGCAAATTAACTATCACTTTGCTATACAATCCATGCCCACCAGCCAATCAGCAAGTATGCAAATTAACCCAACAAACATGGTAGTTAATTTGCATACATGGGAGGAGGAGCGAAGACAGCATTGAAGGAAGAGGGAGGGAAAGTGGAAAGCAAGGCGGCTGTGGCTGCTGGAGGGAAAGCACTGTCAGTGCAGGGTAGGGTGGGGCAAGGCACGCAGGGGTGGCGTGCCCCTCCTGTCCTACCCGCCCCGCCCTGCCTGCCATAGCGGGAGAGGTGGCAGTGGTGGGCCAGAAGTCTTGCAGAAATAATCCTGCAACAGGTCACTAGTCATTTAATAATTATTTCTGGGTAAGACTAGTGGGTGGGAGATAAGGATTCTAATTGTCTTATTTTTATAACTTTGCACGTGAAAGGATGTTTTTTCTTTATAAAAATAAGTATTGCAGTGTCTTCTGCTGGATACTAGAAGCGATGTCCAGGCCATAAGTAGTGTATGTAAACCTCCCTTAGACTTTTCACAGACAGTTTTATTCATTGCTTTTATTCTTCTGTTCAGTGTTTACAGGCATTGGAGTTTTTACATGCTAATCAAGTGATCCACAGAGACATCAAAAGTGACAATGTGCTTTTGGGGATGGAAGGATCAGTTAAACTTAGTGAGTAACAAATGAACAAATAACATTTATTTGTTATTATAATTTTTTGCCTTTTATTTAAGTAAAAATCTCTTATGCTATTAATTTTATATGACTTACTTAATATATGGAGAGGGAGAGAGAATAGTGGTAAAGAATATGGACTCTCACCAGGACAGCCTCTGTTTAAATAGCAGAGCTGCTATACTTGCTGAATAATTTTAGGTGAGTTACTTAATTTCTTTGTGTTTTTCTCATTTATATAATATGGAAAATAATAATATCTGTCTCAAAGAATTCTTTTGGAGATTAAAACACTAAGATTAAAATACTAGGTACTGTCATAATATTGGTGCTGTCTTCCAAAGATGAACTTGAATTTGTTTCTACCTTTTTTTTTTTTTTAATTCAGAGAGGAAGAGAGGGAAAGAGAATATCAATGATGAGAGAGAATCATTGATCGGCTGCCTCTGCTCACCCCTTATTGGTAATTCAGCCTTCAACCCAGGCATGTGCCCTGACAGGGATCCAACTGTCACCTCCTGGCTCATAGGTTGATGCTCAACCCTTAAGCCACATTGGCTGGGCTCTGCTATCTTCTATCAATAGGTCATGCTGTTCAACTTTCATGGATTTGGCAATGTTGCCTAGTCATTCAAAGGCCTATGTGACCCTGACCTTGTGATTACTAACCTTAATCTTAGTTGGCAAGTTAAAAATGGACAGTTTTATGCATTTTTAGTAAATACATATGTAAACAATTGGATTCTTTTGGATAATATTTAATCCTAGCTCTTCCGCTTACTAAATGAATAATCTTTGGTAAGTTATCTAAAAACATATGTGTCTGTTTCCCTATAAAATGAGAATAATAGTAATAGTAATAGAGTTATCATGAGGATTAGATATATTAATTCTTATAAGGTACTGGGAACAATATCTGTTTTTTTTATAAGCTCTCATTTTAGCGATAGATAGTATGATTTGACCTAACAATTGATCTTTCAGGATTCACTCCTATAAAATTACTAAACATATGCACAATTAATTACAAGATGTTCTCTGCAGTATTGTAAGGAAAAACCAATATATGTTAAATGTCTAGCAGTACAGGAATGGTTAAATGTTTTAAAATTTTTATATTCTTTTGTTTTTGTATATTCTTTAGTATTGTATATAATAATGAGGTAGTTCAATGTATTAATATGGGAAGATCTCTAAAAATAGTTTTTTAAAAGTTTACAGAATATCTTAGAATGAATCAAGTGGTTCATAGATATTATTTTTATGTATATAAATGCATAACAAGAAGTCTAAAGCTTACATTTCTATTCAACTATAGTAGTGTTTTAAAAGTTAAATAAAGAATAAATAGATATAAAAGCTCTGGAAGTAATTTTATTAGAAGGAAAAAAGTAAAGATTGCAAAAATAAACATTAACAGTAGTTACATATGGAACAGAATGGGATGGAGGAAAAAATTTATAGATTCTCATCCTGACTTTGCCACTAAACTTGGCATTCTACTACTTAGTTATTATAAAACTAGAGGCCTAGTGTACAAAATTTGTGCACTGGGGCGGGGTGGGGGGTGGGTACGGTCCCTCAGCCCGGCCTGCACCCTCTCACATTTCTGGATCCCTTGCTCCTTACTGCTCGCTTGCTTACTGATCCTTACCACTTGGCTCTCTGCCCCTTAGCACTGCTCCTTAGGCCGGAGAGTCTCCTGCCACCAATGCTGCACTCCCATTGACCACCAGGGTACAGCTCCTGCGTTGAGCATCTGCCCCCTGGTGGTCAGTGCTCATTATAGCGACCAGTTGTCCTAGTCATTCCACTGTAATGATTGCCTGGCGTGTGTGTGTGTGTGTGTGTGTGTGTGTGTGTGTGTGTGCGCGCGCACACACACATTAGAGGCTCAGTGCACAGAATTCATGCACGGCAGAGAGAGGGGTCCTCAGCCCAGCTTGCACCCTCTCTAATCCAGGATCCCTCAGGGAATGTCTGGCTGCCGGTTTAGGCCTGATCTTGCAACAATCCGGACCGCTGGCTTTTAACCATTCACCTGTCTGCCTGACTAATAGCCCTTAATCCTGCGGTCTGCCTGCCTGATGCCCCTAACTGCTCCCCTGCCTGCCTTATTCCCCTAACTGCTTTCTGCTGGCCTGATCCCCCTAACTGTTCTCCCCTGCTGGCCTTAATCCCCTAACTACTCTCCCCTGACGCCTGATCCCTCTAACTGTTCTCCCCTGCTGGCCTGATCACCTCTAGCTGCCTCTGCCTTGGCCACACCAACATGGCTTTGTCGAGAAAACATCTGGTTTACCTAGTCTAATTAGCATATTGCCCTTTTATTAGTATAAATAAAGAGGCTGGAGTATTGCTGGTGAGTACATTGTAGGTACAGTTATAGTTAAAGATGCTCTTTTTCTAGACACTGCTATCAACTGTGTAGTTAATAGCTTCTGTTTATTTTCATCAAAAGTAGTTATCATTTCCTGACTTTTGCCTGTTTGGTGACTTTTTCTTCTTGACTTTTTTCAACTTTATTAAAATCTGTAGGGTAAAATTAACTTTTTCATTGAATTTATTGGAGTGACATTGCTTAATAAAATTATATAGGTTTCAGGGATACAATTCTATAATACATCATCTGTATATTGTATTGTTTGTTACCATCCCAAGTCAAGTCTCTTTCCATCACCATATATCCCCCCCCCTTTATTCTCTTCTCCCTCTCTCCACCCCCTTCCCATTTTCTCTTGTTAGAATTAATTATTTAGAATAAAAGACCTCCTGATTGATTGTCCTCTGCTTGTGGGAAGTTAAAAAGTGAGAGTATGTAACATCAAAATATTTGTAAACCCATCCTAGTTGACTTTATTAATACAGTCTTAAAAAACAAGTGGGTACCCTAACCAGTTTGGCTCAGTGAATAGAGCATCAGCCTGTGGACTGAAAGGTCCTAGGCTCGATTCTAGTCAAAGGCATGTACCTTGGTTGTGGGCACATTCCCAGTAGGAGGTGTGCAGGAGACAGTTGATCGGTGTTTCTAACTTTCTATCCCTCTACCACCTTCTCTGTAAAAAATCAATAAAATATATTTTTAAAAAACAACAATAGTCAAATGTAATTAATTAAGTTATCTGCCCTGGTCAGTTCAATTTCCAATTAAGGACATGTTCCTGGGTAGCAAGCTTGGTCCCTGGTATCACTTCACTACAAGAATGACCTGCAGGAAGCAACCAATCGATGTCATGCTCTCATGTCAATGCTCTCATTCTCCATCTCCCTCTCTTATGTCATCTAAAGTGAATCTAGATAAAACCATCCATGGACACCATTAACTTTCAATGTTTTGTTTTGTTTTATAGCTGACTTTGGTTTCTGTGCCCAGATCACTCCTGAGCAGAGCAAGCGAAGTACCATGGTTGGCACACCATACTGGATGGCACCAGAGGTGGTTACACGGAAAGCTTATGGGCCTAAGGTGGACATATGGTCTCTGGGTATCATGGCTATTGAAATGGTGGAAGGAGAGCCTCCGTACCTCAATGAAAATCCCTTGAGGGTAAGACAAACACCAACCTTATTTTAAGAAAAATACTTTTATTTAAAACACTTAGGTAGTACCTGCTTGTTTCAGGCACTGGCCAAGAATTTAGGATGCAAAGTTGATATAACCTAGTTGTTTCCTTCACTCTGCATCTAAAAAATCATTTGCTTCTGGGTTGAATTGAATGTGTTAGATAAAGAGTTTGTAGATTGTTAGTAAGTTTAATGCTTTCTAATTTTGTATATAAGTAAGAATTTCCTCACTTTTCTACAGAGTTAAGAGTCCCTAGACATACCCTACAGGTTATCAACTTTGAACCTTGGCCTCTGGTACCCCTAGGTACAGAGAAGAGGAAACAAGATCCCATCTGTGAGAAAGCTGTGTAGATGGCAATGTTAAAGCCTGTATTCAGACAAAAGAGTGAGGGCCCTGAGATACAGATGAGGTCAGTAGATTTTAAACAAAAATTTAGCAGCTGAGGATGGAGAGTTTCCGGGTTTCTTCCTTCCTATCTCTCTCCCTTCTTCCCTGCCTGCCTGCCTGTCTTTATTTTTTTTCTTCTATTTCCACTTTTAAATTACCATATATGGCTCAATTTCATATCACTTCACTATAAGAATGACTATAATAAAAAAGTTGAAGAATACCCAAAACCGGTTTGGCTCAGTGGATAAAGCATCGGCCTACGGACTGAAGGGTCCCAGGTTCGATTCCGGTCAAGGGCATGTACTTTGGTTGCAGGCACATCCCCAGTGAAGGGTGTGCAGGAGACAGCTGATCCATGTTTGTCTTTCATCGATGTTTCTAACTCTCTATCCCTTTCCCTTCCTCTCTGTAAAAAAAATCAATAAAATATATATATATATATTTTTTAAAAGTTGAAGAATAAGTATTGGCGAGAATGTAGAGAAATTGGAACCCTTATACTTAGCTAGTGGAAAGGTAAATGGTGCATGTAGCATTTTGAGTATTAATACCCTCACTCCTCAGGGATAAAAATAATAAAACATTCAACTTTTTTTTAAAAAAAGAATATATATAAATGCCTTTAAATTAAAGAATAAAGCCATACTGTTGGGAGCATCTCAAAGAGCACAGGAGCCAAGCTGAAAGAGCTCTAGTGGCCAAGGTGTAACAATTTGAACAACAGTAGTATGGGATTATAACTCAAAGTATATGTATGAGCCCATACTGATAGAAATAAAGTGATGAGCCGAAACCAGTTTGGCTCAGTGGATACAGCGTCGGCCTGCAGACTGAAAGGTCTTGGGTTCGATTCCGGTCAAGGGCATGTACCTTGGTTGTGGGCACATCTCCAGTAGGGGGTGTGCAAGAGGCAGCTGATCAATGATTCTCTCTCATTGATGTTTCTAACTCCTTATCCCTCTCTCTTCTCTGTAAAAAATCAATAAAATATATATTTTTTTTAAAAAAGAAAATGATAAAATAAATAAATAAACAAGATGGAAGAGACAGATCTCTTCATCTGAAGAGATGCAGAAGAATGCCAACTATTTATGGAGATGCTCCACCCTGAAGGAGATGATGCATAACGCCCACTTCTTAAGTGTGGCTGCACCTAGTGACTTTCTTCCAAAGAGCACATATGGAAAGGGGAGAAAAAAGTAACTTAACAGTAGAGAAACCTGACAAACACTACCTCAGCCAGGTGATGAGGTGAACATGAACAGTCCTCAGTTCTGTTGATAGTATGTTCCTTTAATATTGCAGTGAAATGAACTCTTAACTCTTACTTTCTCTCCCAAACCCATAGTCTTTAACCATGAGAAAAACATAAAATCCCAAGGACAGCCTACACAGTAATACCTGATCAGTACTCCTTCAAACTGTCAGGGTTATTCAAAGGAAAGGAATATCAGAAATTGTCACTGTCAGGAGGATCCAAGGGAAATGTGACAAGAACAGAAATAGGAGAGTGGAAGAGTGAATGAAACCTAGTGTAAATGCTGGAAGCAGTAGGGGCCCCATAAGTGATGCCAGTCAGCAGGGTTATAACCTTTTCTTTCACCATACTTAGCTGCATAGGTACAGGCAAGGAGTAGGCAGAGTTTTAGCGGTATTTAGCTACTGAGTGCTGTAAAGTGCACGAGGGTCAAAGAAGTGATTATGTGAGAAGAATGGTGGACACTAGAAGATCAGTAGGATTTATTCGGGTCCAGTGAAGTCAAAAGTTCACTGGTATGAGGGAAGTGAGAGTGAAAAGATAGGAGGTGGAGTGCAGTAGAGATTTACGAGTTGCAGTTATTGATACTCTTAAGATACAGGATATAACCATAGGTGTGTGAGGCTGAAGTAGGCTGAAGGACAAGAGCATCCGAGAAGAAATCAGGGAATTGTAACCAGCATCTTCATAGCTATTGGAATTGTGGTGAATTATGAATAATGTTAGACCTGATGATAGCATTTTGTAGGTGTTTGAATCAAAAAATGGTAGATAGGAGTTTGAAAGCCCAGGAGTTGACAGAGGAGGGTGACAGGAGGTCTCAAAAAGACACTATAAGGAGCCAAAAGAACACTTCATCTTCAGGGCCATGCAAAGGTGTGGGAGAGAAAAAGCTTCACTAGAGAATGCTACAGGTGAGGCAGATTGCTCATGGGAGAGCCAGGCCTCCATAAATTAAGGAAAATGTTTGAGGAAGGAATGGAAAGTGGGTATGAAAATATTAAAGCTAGAAAGAATATGCAGAGGTACATTGGCATTAGAATGGAGAGGCAGAGGGCATGATTGGGAGTCATGGGTTGCTTATAATCACTAACATAAATAAAGATAGAATGTAGTAAGGTTTATCCCAAAGTAGGGGAAAGGTTAAATACTTGTTTTTATATAGAGTTCCCTATTAATCCATTCCAGTGGGAGAGTTGAAGCTCACAACAGTCACATGATCTTAACTTGAAATTTTAAAAGAAATATTGAGTTCAGAGAGGAAAGAGAGATATCAATGATGAGAGAGAATCATTGCTTGGCTGTCTCCTGCATGTCCCCCTCATTGAGAATCGAGCCTACAATCCAGGCAAGTGCCCTGACTGAGAATCAAACTGACCTCCTGGTTCATGGTTCGATGCTCAACCACTGAGCCATGCCAGTCAGGCACAATGAAATTTTTTAGTGAAAGTTTTGGGGGAAATGTCATATAAAGAGAAGTTAACTTAAGTGACAGGGAAAGAGCACATTGGTATACTGATGGTACAAGTGTCAGTTGGTACCTTTTTTTAATGGCAGAAACTTTAAATGAGGCTATATGTTCACTTTTTTATACAGTGTATTTTTACATTATCAACATCCCTCATCAGAGCTTACATTTTTTAAACTATTTCTGTTTTTATTTTATTTATTGTTATTATTTAAGAAGTTTTAGAGAAATGATGAGGGGGAGAGAGAGAGAGAGAGAGAGAGAGAGAGAATGAATGATCAGTTGCCTCCTGTGCACTTGCCCTGACCAGGGATGGAACCTGCGGCCTGGTATGTGCCCTGATCTAGAATTGAACCTACCACCTTTTTGTGTATGGGACGACGCTCCAGCCAATTGAGCCACACGAGCAGGACAAGCTTCATTTCTTAACCATCAGTGAACCTACATTGACACATTATTATCATCCGGAGTCCGTAGTTTACATTAGGATTCATGTTTGGGGTGGTATACATTCTGTGGGTTTAGAGCAGTGGTTCTCAACCTTTCTAATGCTGCAATGCTTTAAGACATTTCCTCATGTTGTGGTGACCCCAACCATAAAATTATTTTCGTTGCTACTTCATGACTGTAATTTTGCTACTGTTGTGAGTTGTAATGTGACCCTGCCTAAAACCATTGGAAAACACAGATATTTACATTATGATTCATTAACAGTAGCAAAATTAGTGTTTTAGGTGACCCTGCCTAAAACCATTGGAAAACACAGATATTTACATTATGATGCATTAACAGTAGCAAAATTACAGTCATAAAGTAGCAACGAAAATAATTTTATGGTTGGGGGGGTCACCACAACATGAGGAACTGTCTTAAAGGGTCGAGGCATTAGAAAGGTTGAGAATCACTGGATTAGACAAGTGTATAATGGATAGCATGTGTTCATCATTTAGTATATAAAGTATTTTCAGTCTTAAAAATCCCCTGTGCTCTGGCTGCTTCTTCATCTATAGCTACATAGATATAACTTGTGTTTTCTTTAAAAAAAAAAAAAAAGTTTCAATAAACTACATTGTTTTGAAATGTAGTGTGACTTGAATAAAGCTTGAGAAAGGTAAGTGGGATTCTATATGTTAATGATAGGATTGCGGTCTTTTTTATACCCTTACATATTATATTTCTTTTTTCTTTTTTTAATATATATTTTTATGGATTTCAGAGAGAGAGAGAGAGAGAGAGAGAGAGAGAAACATCAATGATGAGAATCATTGATTGGCTACCTCCTACACATCCCCTACTGAGGATCAAGCTTGCAACCCCAGCACATGCCCTTGACTGGAATCAAACCTAGGACCCTTCAGTCCACATGCTTTGCTCTAACCGCTGAGCCAAAACATCTAGGGCCATATTTCTTTCATCAATATGTATTATATTTATAATCTCTACCCTATACACACACACACAAAAGCTAATTTTTAAAACATCTAAAATAAAGGAAAAATATCTAATCCAAGAGGATAGAAGTAATACTAACCTCATTTTAGTATTTATGGCGATTATCTTTACAGAGGTAAAAGGTCCATAAACTATATATCAAGTGCTTTCTCACTTTGTTGAGTTACTATGTTAAGAATATAAAAGATGTTCTTTTTTTTTCTCTTAGGCCTTGTACCTGATAGCCACTAATGGAACTCCAGAACTTCAGAATCCAGAGAAACTTTCCCCAATATTTCGGGATTTCTTAAATCGATGTTTGGAGATGGATGTGGAGAAAAGGGGTTCAGCCAAAGAATTGTTACAGGTGAATTTGGAAATGATACTATTTTTGGAAAAAAGTTGGCTTTTTTTGAGTAACAAACAAAGATTACATAGGTCTATTAGTTACATTTCATTGTTCATTCATCACTAGAAGCATTGCAATTGCCACAGTTTAAGATTTTATTTGCTGGAAATAAAATGTCCATCTTTAATAATAAAAGCATAATATGCAAGTCAACTGCACGATGGAATAGCAGGATGACCATGCTAGGACATGTGCTGGTGCCAAGCCAGCCAAGGTGGGTGTGATGCAATTGGTTGGGTAGCCCGCTATCGCCGCACAATCACTCCACCAAGGGAGGCCCAGTCCACCAGCCAGCAGGGTGATTAATGGAGTGGGGCTCCATGATCACCCCAAAGGGAGAGGCCCAGAGGATAAACCAAGATGGTGGCACAGGTAAACACCTGAACTGCTGCCTCACACAACTTCAAAACTACAACTAGAAGACAAAACGGACATAATCCAAAACCACAGGAATGCTGGCAGAGCTAAATTCTACAACTAGAAGGAAAGAGAAAAGCACACTGAGACACTGAGGAGCTGCAGAAGGCAGAGGTACAGAGGTGCATACATGGTGATTACTGGCAACTGGCTTCCTCAATTGGGAGGGAGACAAAAGCTCCCAACTGCTCTGAACTCCAGTTCTGGGTGAGACTCTGGGGACACAGACTCATACGGGGAGAAACTGGACTATCTAGCAGTCTGGGACAACTTCAAGCATACCAATATCCAATTTATGGGGTGCCAGAAGAGAAAAGAGAACAAGATACTGAAAACCTATTTGACGAAATAGTGACTGAAAACTTCCCCCACCTGGTGAAAGAAATAGATTTACAAGTCCAAGAAGCGCACAGAACCCCAAACAAAAGGAATCCAAAGAGGACCACACCAAGACACATCATAATTAAAATGCCAAGAGCAAAAGACAAAGAGTTTCTTACAAGCAGCAAGAGAAAAACAGTTACCTACAGGGAAGCACCCATACGACCTCTAGCTGATTTTTCAACAGAAACTATGCAGGCCAGATGGGATTGGCAAAAAATATTCAAAGTGATGAATAGCAAGAACCTACAACCAAGATTACTCCACCCAGCAAAGCTATCATTCAGAATGGAAGGTCAGATCTCTCTCTCAGAATGGAAGGTCAGATAAAGAGCTTCACAGACAAGAAAAAGCTAAAGGAGTTTATTATCACCAAACCAGTATTATATGAAATGCTGAAAGGTATGCTTTAAGAAGCGGAAGAAGAAGAAAAAGGTAAAGATAAAAATTATGAACAACAAATACATATCTATCAACTAGTGAATCTAAAAATCAAATGAATAGCCGAAACCAGTTTGGCTCAGTGGATAGAGCGTTGGCCTGCGGACTGAAGGATCCCGGGTTCGATTCCGGTCAAGGGCATGTACATTGGTTGCAGGCACATCCCCAGTTGGGGGTGGGCAGGAGGCAGCTGGTTGATGTTTCTCTCTCATCGACGTTTCTAACTCTCTATCCCTCTCAATTCCTCTCTGTGTAAAATCAATAAAAAAAATATAAAAATCAAGTGAATAAAACATCTGATGAACAGAATAAACTGGTGATTATAATAGAATCAGCGGCATAGAAAGGGAGTGGACTGACAATTCTCGGGGGAAATGATGGGGATGTGGGAAGAGACTGGACAAAAATTGTACACCTATGGATGAGGACTGGGAGGGTGGTAAGGGCAGAGGGGGGAGGGGAGCTATGGGTAGAAAAAGAGGAACAATTGTAATAATCTGAACAATAAAGATTTATTTAAAAGGGGGAGGGGTGCCCAGGCCATCCTCTGCAAGGTGATCAATCGCGGAGCTCCGATGGGATCCACCGAGGGAGGCCCAGGCCACCTGGCTGGTGGCGCTGAGGCGGGTTGGTGGGGCCTCCCACTGTGGGGCGATCAATAGGGGGATCCCGTGATCAATCACCCCACAGAGAGAGGCTCAACTCACTATCCAGTGATGCTGTAGCAGGTGTGCGGGGCTAGCCAGTGATCGCCCGCAGAGCAAGGCGTAGGCCAGCCAAGTGATCGAACCCTAACATGCCTGTCGCCCGCAGAGGGGGGCGACTGGTGGTTGGGGATTGGGGGTAGCGCCACACAGACGGCAAGCAGTGGCAGCCGGGGAAGGAAAGCTTCGATAGGCCTTATTGCTGGCCAGGCCTAGGGACCCTATCCGAGGGGTACTGATTGTGAGAGGAGGGAGAGGCACAGGCCGGGCTGAGGGACACCACCACCACTAGCACCACCACCACTAGCACCACCACCACCACCACCTACATGCACACACACTGTGCACGAATTTCATGCACTGGGTCTCTAGTTATAATAAGTATATGAATTTTTATGTGTTATTAAGTTTCAGGCCAGTTCTTTGCTAGCATGGGTATCTGGGGTATTCAACTGAGATTTTGTAATAGTATAAAAACTAAAAAGACCATGCTTTCAACTATAAAAGAAATGTATTGGTTATGCTGACTTTATGCAGGTATGAGATATGTTTATTAAGTAAATTATAGCCCATTAAAACCTTTGGGTCTTTAATTGAAAGGAAATATTTAGCTTTTAAACGGGTGACATTTATACTTTTTTTTCTCTCCCCTCTTTCTGGCAGCATCCCTTCCTGAAACTGGCCAAACCATTATCTAGCTTGACACCATTGATTATGGCAGCTAAAGAAGCAATGAAGAGTAATCGTTAACATCATTGTCGTGGCCTCATATTCTTTTTCCATTTTCTAAAAGAAGTCTTTTAATATATGAAAATTATTACTCTTTTGGGATTTAAGGAAATGGCCTGCATAACATGGAGGGAAAAAGCAAACTACTACTTCCTGAAGACAACCAAGAGAAAATTACAAAACAGAATGACAACTTTCTATTGAATCCCTTCTTCAGGGTCCAAAAGGAATTGTGGACTGAATCACTAGCCTTACTTCTTTCAGCAGACAGCCCATCTGGGCCATTTATCATGCTAGAGATTTGCCTTTTATTTTGCGGAGTTCATTGTAATAGGTCACATTCATTGTCCCTTTGGAGGTATTTTTCAGTACTTGAATAGTAGATTCGAGTTTTTCAGAGTATTTGTTCCATTTGCTAGTCATCTTTTCTCTCTTTGTAGCTTTCTTTTTCCTTGACTTGCTCCTTTTGAGTTGCTTTGAGAAGTTTTTCTTAGGCCTAAATTTGAGGCAATTTTGAAATTATGTAGCTCCTTATATTGGCAAAGGAGCTTGATAATGGTTTAACTTTGTATAGAAGTTAGAACCAGCTATTGTACATGTAATATTTCAGTTCAGAATTTGAACTGGGGGAAGGGAAGAAAAGTATGTGATTTTTACCTTTTTTAACAAATGTGAAAGTCCGTTTTAGAAATTTCATGGTAGTGAAATGTTTGGCATTTGTTACATGTATAGAGAGAAGACTAATAATCTATATTTATAACTAAATCATTGAGACAGAGAAAGAATCCCATTGACTCTACATCTTTGCAGGTTTGTTTCCATTTTGACTGTCCTCTTCAGATACGGCTTCTGGAACCAGAGTGATTTGTTCTTGTTCCAACTTTTGTTAGTGCCGCTGCTTTCCCTTTCCTCTATGTCCCCTTCATTTTGGAAATAAGTTTCTGTATATGTTGTAATTTTAGTTTGTTTGTTTAATTAACCCTCTGTCACCCTACTGCCCCCACCCCCTGGTAAATACTGTAATAACCATTGACTTTTCAGATTTTAAAAATAAACTCTTTTTTTTCCATTTAAAGGAGAAAAATATTTGGAGCCAGTAAAGCAAAGTGAGAGACTTGAACCTTGGTGAGCTCTAACATAATTAGCTGAGAGTACATTGACGGAAGAAAATTGTCAGTACATAGAGATGGAACTACTGACCAGTAAACTACAGATCTGTTATAAACTTTGTTGCCAAACCATTACCAACATTGTTCTGACTGAGAACTTAAGTGATAAAGTATTTCTTGATAAATTCATGTATCATTTAAGATGTTGAGTTACTTTGGATTTTTTTTTTTCAAATAAGGAAATAATATTCATGTAAAAAAAAAACTGGAGAAAGGAAGAAAAATGAAATGTTCTTGTTGATAGCAATACTTTTTTTTTTAATTTTAAAGATTTTAAAAGGTCTGTGACCTGTAGCATTAATTATTAGAGTGCCCTCTCTTCTCCCCTCTCTATCTCTTTCTCTCCTCTTCCTCTCATTTTTTTCCCCTATTGTTTTGCATTTGGATGCAGTATTGTTCCTTCTGGCATGCCAAGGACCACATAAAAGAGAAACATCTGTAGTTTGGTTCTGGAAGATGGGAATGTTCCCACCATTCTCCTGACTAAGTTCATCCATACTTGCCATTGTGTAACAGTACAAATCATGAATAAAAATGATTTTGATGTTTTGGAGTACATTGGGAGGAACTAATACTGATTTATTTCCTATCATTCCCATCATCTGTGTATAAGATGTAGGTATAAGGATAGAAATGGCTGTTCTTTATTGATAGCACAGGAAGGTTTAAAAAAAAAAACAAAAAAAACTAGTTCATGGAACTTTTATCTAGAGCACTTAATGGTCTCTGTTTTCAATTCGATTTTTTCAGATTTCTCTGGATTATATTTGCCTTCTATAGTTACTATTAAATTACAGAAACAAGCCAAGTTTACTTATGGTGGAAAGCGACTTTGCCTTTGAATTCCAGATTTGAACATTCTTTGTAAATAGTCTGGATGGATTGTGGTGAAGAAGATGCTACCAATGAAAAACAACTCGATGATAAGACTGTGATCATCATGACCACTCTAGATGGCACTTCCATGCATAAGTCGTAAAGACCTTATTCATTGAATATAGTGCCAATGCCCCATTTTTATTCCTATGACTCAACAAAGGTTTTTTCAATTTATAAGAGCAGTTTGGGATTTGTATTTACAACTTTTGATGGTTACCTGCATGTCCATTGCTGGCAACGGACTTCGTCGTTAAAACCTGACTCCTAGGTTTAAGGAGCTACACTGTGGTTTATTCTTTACTTACTTGGATAAACTAACTAACTTGTAATAGAAATATACTTTGGTTAATTCTGAAATGTGTCATTTTTAAACAGAATCTTAAAAGCAATATGGAATTGTGATTTATTAATTATAAATTAAAGTTTTTAGATCTTGTTGAAAAAAAAATTATATCTGAATTAAGGTTCATGTTTTCTAAATACCTGCCTTTTGCACTCACCCATTTTGTCATCACTTTAGAAAGAAAATTCCCATGGAAATCTAAAAGTTACTTTAGTCCTCATATTACTAGGACAGTATTACTGTTGTACTTATTTATTATATTTTAGACTCTAGCATTCTTAAAGTTTCCTTCTTTTGCTGCTTTGGAGGGCTATTAAAACTGGGATACCGTGAAAATATTGAGTATTTTATCCTATTTAGGATAGTAAACAAGTAGAGAAATTGTGGTAGCATCAGAAACAAAGACTTAACACAACTCTCTCTTCACGTGTTGACTGCCTGGCACACTGTATGAATTCTCTTTCCCTCCATATATAAATATGAAGCTGCTTATCTAGTTACCACCAGTCCTAAATGAACCTGTGCCTTTAATAAGCAATTAAAAACCTATGAGTATTTCTTTCAGGGCTCACATAAGCACATTTTTAAAAAAATATACTGTATTCTAACCAGAATAATACTAGATATCATCAAGTATTGGTATAGTTAGAAAAAAGTGAGTGCTTAAAGAATTTGCATCAGTTTTTTAATCTAAAAGTTTTAAAATATACTGAGGTCCATATCTAGTGAAATGTCAAAAAATCAATTCTGGAATATAGCCAAAATTCAGATTAGTACTCATTTTGGGGGTTTTTAATAATAGAATTTCATAGTAATACAAAGATTTTCCTTGTCTGTTGCTCCCACAATAGATATTTAAACAATTAAAATCAGTTTTTCCACAGTGCATAAATATGCATGTGTATAAGAAAGGAACAAAAAAACACAGAGACATGTGCTTTTTTCCCCTCAACACATTTATTGACCACTTGGGCAAAGACACTGTAGCAGGTATTGTGGGAATTACAAAGGAGAATCAAACACTGGCCTGGCCTTGAGAGAAGTGAAGTCTCTCATTCTCAATTCTAGAAAGTTGCCAAGTGAGAGGGAGAAAGAAATGCTTAACAAATTTTCATTCTGTATGAAGAAAAGCAGAGAGTTACATATTACATATTTGGAATTGAACGGTTTTTGTTGCTTTTTTTTTTTTTTTTTTTTTTGTCTTGGTAAATAGAAATGTAATTAAGTGAAAGTAGCTTTGCTGTTGTGTCTTCAAATTTTATATTGACTTATTTTTAATTTAATCCCATTCAATTATTTAATTGTTTCATTGACATTAACTGCTGTATTTGATTACTTTGTTCAATAATTTTGTTCTTTCAGGGCTAGAAATAAACTTTTCTATGTTTATTTTTCCCTTTCCTAAACTTCTTTAAATTAGAATACCTTAAAAGAATAAGTGTAATAGGTTTTTAAGAGCATTCTAATATTTTTAAGGATAACTGTTTTTTTTAAAAAACATGCCATGGCACTATTTTTAATGTATTACAAAGTCTAAATTTAAAAAGCTTCTAGAACTATGGGTAGTAAGCATGAGCCTTCCCTCTTCTAAACCAGGTTCCAAATAAATTTCTTAGAAATGTTCCGGCTCTCAGACCCAGTTAAAACACTTCTGATCTATTAGACACCTCCAGTAACTTGGCCTGAAATTCTAATGCTTACCTGACTGAAGTAATAATCATACTAGCGTTTCTGTGTTAAAATGCACCAAGAGAACTTTAAAAGTACAATTTAAGGAATCACTTGTTTATAGGCAGGCAGTGAAGTAGGAATGTCCAATACCCTGACATGGAGAACAGCTTCAGTATGGAGAGCTCACTATCAAAAACCAAAACTAGCCAAGACTGGTTTGGCTCAGTGGATAGAGTGTCGGCCTGCGGACTCAAGGGCCCTGTGTTCGATTCCGGTCAAGGGCATGTGCATTGGTTGTGGGCACATCCCCAGTGGGGGGCATGCAGGAAGTAGCTGATCGATGACTCTCTCATCGATGTTTCTAAGTATCTCTCTTCCTCTCTGTAAAAAATCAATAAAATATATTTTAAAAACAAACAAAAAAAAACCTAGCCCTAGCTGGGTTGGCCCAGTTGATGGAGCTTCGGCCTGCCGACTGAAGGGTCAGGTTCCATTCCAGACAAAGGCACATGCAGGAGTTACTGACTTGCTGACTTGCAAGCTTGATCTTCAGTAGGGGGTGTGCAGGAGACAGCCAATCAATGATTCTCATTATTAATGTTTCTAACTCCCTCTCCCTTTCTTTCTGAAATCAATAAAAGATATATTTAAAAGAACTAAAATTATACTTTTTAAAAAATATATATTTTAATCATTTTTTTTTTTCCAGAGAGGAAGGGAGAAGGATAGAGAATTAGAAACATAGGTGAGAGAGAAACATCAATCCCCTACTGGGGATGTGCCCACAACCACATTTGCATACCCTTGACTGGAATTGAACCTGGGACCCTTGAGTCCTCAGGCGGATGCTCTGTCCACTGAGCCAAACTGGATAGGGATATATATATATTTTTAGCATGGAGTAGAGAGTATAGGCAATGACTGCTTAAAATACATTTTTTACATTGTCAAGCTGTTAA